CAGAAACAGCTGAGAAAATCCACCTTTCTTCTTCTGAGCCAGATGTCAGGGGGATTTGTCTAAACAGAAGGCATTACCATTCTTTTCACGAAGTGGCTTTGTTTTCAGAAAATATAGTTACATGAATTAAAGTTTTCTCAGCTTTAATTGCTAGTATGGCAAATATGAAATATTGTCTCATAAGTTAAATCTCAGTAATTTTTAAGAGTATAAAGACAACCTGAGACTATAAAAAGTCTGAGAACCACTTTTCTGGACCCTACCTGTCTCTTATTTTAAGAGGTATGTTCATTTCTAATCTTCAGCTTTTTTCATGTACTCATGATGCGACTTAGATCTGGCCTAAGTGGGTGTTCAGCATATCTTTCTTGCTTGGATGAGTATTGGTTCTCAAGTTGGTAGTAAACAGTATAATTTCCACCTGCTTTTGGTCGCACTGTGATAGAAGATTGTCAGATTCTGAGCCTGTGTTTCCTGTTTCAGGGCCAGGTCATGAACATTTCCGTGATGCTCCTCGCCCTGATCATCCCCCTCATGACGGTCATTCCCCAGCTAGCAGAGAACGGTCTTCTTCTCTCCAGGGCATGGACATGGCATCCCTGCCACCCCGAAAGCGTCCCTGGCATGATGGGCCAGGGACCTCAGAGCACAGAGAAATGGAAGCCCCAGGGGGTCCATCTGATGATCGAGGAGGCAAAGGTAAGTGGAGGCCAGTGGTAAACAGTTCCAGTAGCTGTGGGTGCCGCAGCTCTGTCAAAAAGGCCATGGGGACCATTGGCCAGCTCCATCCCTGGGTTCCTGTTCTATCTGTTCCGGACAGGCTATTGTGGGTCCCTCTTCCCTTCTCCCCTAGGCTTAGGCTGTAAAGGCAGATGTTCCCAAATGTGGTACAAATATAGCTTGTTCAGGCTCACACCAGAGTCAGTGCGAGTCCTCACTCAGGTGATTGCAAGCTCAGCCTCTGCATTAGCCTCCTTCACGTGCTTCCCAGAGTTCCCCTCCCTGGTTCCTTCAGGGTTCAGGGTTCCATTCCTGCTCTTTGTCAGGGTGTCCCAGAGTAGGGTGGGTGCAGGGGGCTCATGCTCTCGTTGGCAGATGTGCTGGTCGCTACTGGCCGTTCCCGGCCCTCAAGGCTTTTCTTGGTGGCAGGAATGATGGTCTGCTCCCAGCTTCTGTGTTTTCTGGGTCTGGGAGGAACTGCTGATGCCCAGAGTCACAAAGACTTTGAGGAATATGGTCTGGAACGGGTTGTTTTCAGGGGGGCAGTAGATTTTTGCTACAGCTTGAAACTCTGGAACTTTATTTTAGAGGTAGCACTTTTAGCCAGGAGCAGTGGCCACCATGTGGTCTCAGGTTAGGCTGGGCCCCTGCATATGTGGTAGTTTGGAGGCTGCTAGAAAGTAAGCCCAGTTAACCTGCCTCATAGTTACAGTCTCTTTACAAAGTTGTGCTTTTTGATTTCGGTGGTTCTTCTCAAAGCAAAACCCCCAGAAGCTACTTCATGTCAGTGGTAGATCTCCCACGTAAGCACTCATTTTTTTGCTGGTCAGTATGGGCACTGAGGACACCTGTAGGTCCCTAGCCAAGGCCACATGGCTAGTGTGGAAGTGACTTCCTAGCTGACATCTTCTCTGCCCAGTCACCTTCAGGTGGGTCTGGGCTGCACTTTGTAGGAAAGGAAGCCAATATTTTCCCTTTGGCTAGCTTTCCTAACCACTTCGTTTTACCTAGATTCACATTCCATTCAAACTTTTAAGACAAAAAAGAGGCACATGGGTGGCTCAGTCGGTTAAGAGTCTGACTTTGGCTCAGGTCATGATCTCACGGTTTGTGGGTTCAAGCCCCACATGGGGCTCTGTGCCGACAGCTCAGAGCCTGGAGCCTGCTTCGGTTTCTGTGTCTCCCTCTCTCTCTGCCTTTCTCCTGATTGAGCTCTCTCTTTCAAAAATAAATAAACATTAAAAATTAAGACAAAATAAAGTTGGCAATAGTCTTCTGATAGTAGTGCCCATTATGGGAAATATGACCAAATTCAGCTGAGAAAAAACTTTTTTTAAGTCGGAATTTTAATATACCTAAAAGGTTTTTGTGTCCAAGTCTGGAACAGATAAAACTATCCCTGGGAGAGGGGCACCTGGGTGGCTCAGTCAGTTAAGTGTCTGACTATGCTCAGGTCATCATCTCATGGTTTTTGAGTTTGAGCCCGGTGTCGGGCTCTGGGCTGACAGCTCAGAGCCTGGAGTCCGCTTCAGATTCTGTGTCTCCACTTCCCCACTCATGCTGTCTCTCTCAAAAAATAAACAAACATTAAAAAAAAATTGAAAAACCTATCCCTGGGAGAAATAATTCTAAAAGCTAAGTTTTTTTTTTCTTTTGAAATTGCTCGTTTTTAAAGAAATACTTTAGTAAACACATTGTAATTAACATCAACAGTTTGTATTTCTTCCTTTTTTTTAATGTTTTATTTATTTCTGAGAGAGAGAGAGAGACAGCGTGAACAGGGGAGGGTTAGAGAGGGAGAGACAGAATCCGAAATAGGCTCCAGGCTCCGAGCTAGCTGTCAGCACAGAGCCCAATGCGGGGCTTGAACCCACAAATCGCGAGATCATGACCTGAGCTGAAGTTGGATGCCTAACCAACTGAGCCACCCAAGTGCCCCAACAGTTTGTATTTCTTAGTTGCTTCCAGAGTTCTTGGTTGCTTTTCAAGTGTTCTCCCAGAATAGAATAACCCCTGGTGGTAAAAGAGAGTGAAGAAGATACACTTGCTAGAGACATGGCCCAGTGTGTTCTGGGTCTCCCCGAGGTCCTCCCCGTTTATCTCCGTCACACAGCCTTGGTGAGCATGTGTGGTTGTGAGGAGCATGGCCATAAGCTGGCTGGGAATGTGACAGTGGTGACTAAAGGTGGAGGCACGACTTCTGACACTCTGAATGCCACTGCTGATGTCCTCAGAACTTGGTTTTAAAGACCCAGAGTGTTCCACTGTCATCACTAAAAGTTTGTACCAGGAGTTACTGATTCCCAGTCTTGGATATTAAAAAAAAAAAAAAAAAAAAGTGACACGTGAAATCATTTGTCTCATTTCAGGCCGAGGGGGTCCAGGACCTTCCCAGAGAGTGCCAAAATCTGGGCGTTCCAGCTCTTTGGATGGAGATCACCATGACGGCTACCACAGAGACGAACCTTTCGGGGGCCCTCCGGGCAGTGGCACTCCCTCCAGAGGGGGCCGGAGTGGCAGTAACTGGGGTAGAGGGAGTAACATGAACTCTGGTCCGCCAAGGCGAGGAGCTTCAAGGGGCGGTGGAAGGGGTCGGTAGGAGTTGCGGCTGAGTACCCCAAGGCCTCTCTGGACAGTATTTAAGAACTTCTTGTGGACTTACCAAGAGAAACAAAAGGAAGCCTGCACCATGCAGCCCTGAACTTTCTCTGGGGCGCTGAATCCCAGGAGTCCCTAATGAGGTCTTCAAGACGAAGAGACTGCTGCTGGCTGCCCAGAGTAGCCGGCCCCGTTCTGTCCTGTCCACCCTCACTGCCCTAACTCCCGCTGTTTTGTGAAGAGAAAAGCTGGAATCTTTTTTTTTTTTAAGTGTCACGAGACATGGAGCACCTCCACAACTTTAAGTTCATGTCCAATTGGGAATTTGTTTCTATATGTACAGTTTGTCAGAGAAAAAACATTAAGTTGTTTTTGTATGAATACAGAATGTGATTTACGCAAGAATTAACAGAAAACCGGTTGTGAAGTGCTTGCCTTAAGGAAACCCTTCGTTTCCATTGCATCCAGTCTGCTGAGGGTATACAGTTCCTGCTTGTATCTGTGAGCACACTTGATGGGTACCTCTAAGCCATCGAAGTTAACTTCATCTGTGAACTCTGTCTTGGATTCTTGTCTACCCATTCTGTCACTTATTTTTGTAATAGAGTGAGAAATACTTTGAAACTCTAACACAGTCTGAAGTAGATTCAAAGCCTTAGCTACCCCATGCTCTGGCAGGTGGAAAATTATACTCTGAAGAAAAAAGTCTGCTGGCTGTGCAAGGAGGGGCTCTCCCGTGGGTGCATGTCCTGGTAATCACACTTAGACCCGAAGTCTCTGTTCCGATGAGAGGAACCTGATGTAAGCCAGAAATAACCTACCTGTACCCTTCTGATTACTGTCCATCATGCCACAGATTCAGTTGAAAAGGAATAGACCAAACATCTCCTAAACAATTTTGCAAACCTTTCTCTCCTACCAGTGTTTAAGGCAGACGAAAGTTCTAGCTTAAAGCCACGAAGTTCTCATCCACAGCAAATTCCTTTAGCTTTAAATAAATGTTAACATTTAGCCCGATTTAGATTGGAAGCCAAAAGTTCAGTTTGATAAGCCCGTGTTTTCTCTACTGACACTTTGTTTTTATAAGAAAACTGTTATTCAAAGGATAGTCCTGTGGCCCCCCTCACATCTTATTACTTTGCCCGCTTCAATGTGGTACCGGAGACCAGTTTACCTGGCCCGTTCAGGGTGCTGAAGTCTCTGCAGTGGCCTAGACAAGGGATGCTGGCACAGCTGGACAGACACAAAAACCTCTTAACTGGTTCCCTGTTAATGTAAAACAGGGCAAAAGGTAAGTTACTTCTGCACACACACTGCTCTTCAGGGTGCTGGATCCCAGAGACTACAAGTGAGTAATTTTCACTTTGTTTTGAGATATAAAAACATTTATCACCACGTCACTGTAAACACATGATTAGGAGGCTCAAGAATGCTTCAAGTTTGTGAGGTATTCTTGATTTGCCCTCCATTGGCACAGCTTAAAAAGAAGCTGTAATCAAATTCTGATAAGCTGAAATGGGATCCAGGAGCAAACCCGTATGGAGAACTTCTGTCTGAGATTCATGTGGTAAGAACTTTACCCTCCTAACATTTCAGGCTTCGGTTTTCAACAGTACGTACGGCACCTCAGCAAACAGATAACCAGATCACGTTTTGAGAAAGAGTTCCTTTAGGAAAAACTGAAATCTTTACACTGTAGTTTATTGAATACTTAAGAAATTTTAAAACATCACATACAAGGCATTGTGCTTTGAATTTTATAAACGCTAGATTTTCAGTGTTTGAATTCTTGAGAAAATGCTGGAAAAACAATTTTAAAAAACCACATAACAGCATCAACATAAAAGTGGGCTAAACACTGTCAAATCTTCAGCCGTGCAAATTCTAGAGAAACTGAGACCTCAGAACAGAGATTTAATCGGGGGATGGAAGGAGCAGCCAATGGCACAGTTTTTTCCAGTTACAAAAAGAAATCTCTCTCTAGAAATAGTGCATGTGCTTTTACTACAAACGCCCTCGTTTGTTCCTCTTGAGGTAGGTAAGTAGCCCTGTTTACTGAAAGGGGAACCAGGCAGCAATTCTTACAGAATACTGGGGTGCGGAGCCCCCATGAAGCCGGGCCAGGGCTTAGGACACTGATTAGGCTCTAGTAATATAAATACTGAGGCGGAACTGAGGCAACCCTCTACTACTGCCCACACACCTGTTGAGGCGCGGGGGAATCGGGCCCCAGAAACTGATCCTTTTCAAACCGTGCAATCCAGTGCAGGGAACAGTGGTTCACCTCAGCGGAACAGGGAGTCACCTGGGGAGCTCTGCAAAATCCCTGGTGCCTGGGTGCCTCGTCACCGCTCCCCACATTCCGGCTGAACTGAGAACGACTGATCCAGAATCTGAAAATTCCAAATACTTTTTTACTTTCTAGTTAATACAGAGCTACTAACAAAACACGTTTTCTGGACTCCTCAGAATACGGAGTCCGAACTTTCTGGCAATGCGTTAGAATATGCAGTAAACTCAAAGACAAGAAGAAATGCTGAACCTAAAAGGAAACTTGTCAGACATGAAAAGCATCTTACACTGCATTAAAATCAGCCTACAAAATATAAATTATACTTTAAAAAAAGCAGATAATAAAACTAGGAATGATAATTAGGACTTGTAGAAATCCACGGTTTCCGTCAAATACAGAACTTTGGATGCAGAAGTCTCTTGTCTGGAAGGAGTCCCCAACCCAGTTCTGCCCAGAGACCTCATAGCATTGACAAGTCATGTTTTTGGGGGCAGACATTTACTTTTTGGTCCGTCGCTTTCATGTCTAATACAAAACCAATCTTCCTTTAATTTTGTAAGGCACCGTATTTACAATCTCACTAAAAACAAAAAAACGAAGTAAACCTTAACTACTTAAATAAAACCTGGTGGCTAAGTTTAGTGTTTAATTCGATACCCTTAAGAATCCACTCATTGAATGAGGGAAAGGAAATCCTCAAGCGCCAAAGAAAACCAGCATATTGTAGCTAAACTGCTACAATCTACCACTGGATTTTTTAAACAACAAGCAAAAGAAGTCTGAGAAAAGTCACAAGGGCAGCTAATTAAAACTGAAGAGCCATACATTTTTTTTTTTACTGTGCTCAATCCAAGATCCTGGTTAACACAAAAGCCAGTTACCATGAGTGTTTTACAGCATCGTCACCTAATCAACCACAACATCCCGACTTCATAGCACATGCTACCCGGTCGTGCGGAAGACGCCGAAACCTAAGAGCTTCCGAAACGGATCATGTCCCAGTTTCCGAACAGCCGCTCGAAGAAGTTGACAGGTTCGCCAGCACAACAACGGAGCAGCCGCTCGCCGGCGCGATGTGGAAGGCGGCGGGCGCAGTCCTCGGCTCCGTCCGCGCCGCGTCAGGGGCCGGCCCCCGGTGGTCTCCCGACGGCGGGTCCCGCGGCCGGGCTTCGCGTCGTCTCCGTGCGGGAACCCCGTCCGTCCTTGCCCGACGGCACGGGCTCTGGGCTTCTCAGACCGGCAGCGCCTTGGCGAGGCCGGCACCCGGGCCCAAGCGCCCGAGCGCTAGACGGAGCGCGGTGACCGCACCCCTGGGCAGAAGACCGAAGAGCACGGCCAGCAGCGCGGCCACCTGCACGCAGGCGCCCAGAGCCGTGAGCAACGTACTGCGCAGCCCGAGCGCCGCGTACAGCGTAGCGCCCAGTGCGGCCGCGTAGAGCAGCGCCGGCCGCGACGGCGTCTCCTCGCCGCGCAGCAGGCGCTCGCACGCCGCGCCGCCCCGCAGCAGCGTGCCGCCCGCCAGCGCCAGCGCCGAGCCCAGGGACCAGAGCAGTGCGAACTTGCGGGCGCGCAGCAGCAGCACGGGCGCGTAGAGCGCGGCCAGCCCGAAGCAGAGCGCGGCCAGCAGCAGGCACACGCCGCTCGCCGCCAGCCGCTGCGTGCGCGTCACGCTGGGAAAGCACGTCGAGCTCGCCGCCGCCGTTGGCTCCGCGGGGCTCCGCGCCCACGTCCAGCGCAGACCCGCGCGGCCCAGCCACGCCCCCGCCGGCCCGCCCCCCTCCGCGGGCTCCTCCGCCTTTTCCGCAGCGAGCAGCGGCTCCGCGGCCGCCAGTCCGCCGGCTTTCCCCTGCGCCAGGTACTCTTGCAGCTGGCGGTGGATGTCCGCCATCTTGGCCGGAGCGGCCGCCAGAAGGGAGGACTGGAGCCTACTTCCGGTTTTTCTGGTTTGCTGGCGGAAGTGGCTCCGCCTAGAACGGCTGTTGGTCGGCCGTGGGGGGGCGGGGCCTGCAGCTTGCGTGGAAGGGGCGGGGCCGTCAGGGTTAGCAGCGGCCCCGGCGCTGTATCCGGAGGGCGCTGTTACAGCCTGGATAAGTCCTGTCATTAAAAGCTAGTTGTGTGTCGGGGTGTGTTGTGGCTATAAAAGGACACCTGAGGGACCCTTGTGGTGGCGATGGAACAGTTCTGTCTCTTAAATTTATGGGAATGTATATCCTGTGTTGTAGTTTTGCGAGTTGTCGCCATTGGGGGAATCTCCGTATTGCTTGAAACTGTATGTTAATCTGCAGTTCTTCTCCATAAATTTAATTTTTACAAAAGCTCAGAGCTTAGGACTTAAGTGTTTTTTTTGGGGAAGGCTACCGGAGTTGATAAATGAAGATTTAGCCATCCCCCCTTCCCCCCATCAGCTTGCTTATCTTCTGTTCATCATTTCATCAGAGGCCCATCAAACTTCTTGACTCCTTCAAGACCTATGTGCAAGTCTTGTTGGTGCCCCTGTCTTATATTTTTGGTTCACCTTTTTGTGCTCCTGACATCTTTTGGATCCAGGTCTCCTGATTTCATGGGCAGATCACTGATAAGCTTGCCCACACTTCAGTCAGTTCCTACACCTGTTCTGAGGTGGCTTCCAAGGATCCCGCTCTTACTCAGAGCCTCCTTGGAGTCCCTTACAAAGATCACACCCAGCAGGTCTCCTCCAGGGCTTCTGTGCTCTCTCGAGTTTCCACCTTGCTAATTCCCACTCCTGGACGTTTAGAACTAGCCATGCCCACAGCTGCTTACTGCTGGCATTCTCACCTTTCCCAGTTGTGTAAGTTTATTTGTTTAAGGCTGTGCCAGCAACTCAACTACAGGGTCTCTTTCATCTCCCTTTTTCTAGGATTTGAGAGGCTGTCCCAAATGCATAAAGGTGCTAGAAAGGCTTTGTAGATCTGGCCCGAAGCCATCGATGGAAACACCTGTTTTGCTAGACTTTATAAATACCTCCTGCAAACTTAAATATGGCATGGAAGTCCATTTGTAATGTAAAGGACAATCCAGGTAAGATGTACAGCAGTCTCCTGTGGTGTGAGACTTTGTCTTACTTGCCCCAGAAGACCATTCGTACCCTACACTCCTTTCTACGGGGCGCGAGAGGCAGTGCCTACCTCTGCAGGCTGTTTCTGGTACTCCTCTGTCACTGGCTTCGGGGGCAGTGATGCGGAGAAGCGGGGTATTTTCTTTTGGCTGCACCATGGCTCCCCTCATCACCTTGGTACTGCTCCCCACAGTGACAGGATATGACTACCAGCTAATGGGCAGGTAACACTCTTTCCTCCTCTACCCAGGAAGAGGTGGGTGTTAATGGCTTTCTGCTGTTGTCATCTCTGGCTTCTCAGCCTTTCTGTTACTTGTGTAACCACTATCCCCATTAAATTCTCTTTAGTACTTTCTATCTGGTTGGATGCTGATATACATTATTCTTTCTCAACCTACATTACAATTTGTTGTCTCAACCCAAAACAGTAAACTGAGGCAAGCTTGAATTACCAGAATTGAATTTATTTGGGAAAAGCAGAGGAATTACAGTTTAGGAAATGGAAACTGTAGCAAGCTACAGGTGTCTCCCACTGAGGATTTGGGGTGTGGTGGGCTGTGTTTATGGGCAAGGAGTGCAAACATGGGGGGATGCAGCCAGAGTCCAAATGGTGAGTTCATTGGTTCCCAGATGGGAAGAGATCCTTGATGGATGTTCCTTGGTCAGGAGTTAAATTTCTGTCTGCTTTAAACTGAGGATTTACAGGAAATCAGCTCTTCAGGTCTTAAGTTTTGTTTTCCTAAGAGCACATCCATTTCCTATTGTCTGGTTTCATTTTAGATTGAAATTCTTTCACACTTGTTAATAATAGTGATCATCCTGGATCACTTACAATGGGCAAAACCATTAGGATGGCTCCTGTGAAATAAAAACAAAACACTGGGGCACCTGAGTGGCTCAGTCAGGTGAATGCCCGACTCTTGATTTCAGCTCAGGTCATGCATGATCTCATGCTTATAAAATCAAGCCCTGTGTTGGGCTCTGTGATGAGTGTGGAGGAGCCTCCTTGAGATTCTCTCTCTCCCTCTGTCTCTACCCTTCTCCCACTTGTGCATGCACACCCACTCAAATAAAAAACGTTTTAAAAACACACAGGATGTGAGCAGTTGTAACATGCTCTGTTGGTGGGAGTAGAAGATGGTCCAGCTGCTGTGGAAAACTGTATGGTGCTTCCTCAAAAAATTAAAAATAGAATTACTGTATGATCCAGTATTCCACTTCTGGGTATATACCCAAAAGAATTGAAAGGGTCTTGAGATACTTGTACATCCGTGTTTATAGCAGCATTATTAACAATAGCTGAAAGGTGAGAGCAACCCCAGTGTCCATCCAAGATGAATGGATAAGCAAAATGTAGTATATACAGACAATGAAATATTATTCAGTGTTAAAAAGGAAAGAAATTCTGACACATTCTATTACATGTGTAATGGATGAACCTTGAGAAAATTGTGCTAGGTGAAATAGGCCAGTCATTGTAGGATTCCACTTATAGGAAGTAGATTGGTAGAGACAGAATGGTGGTCCACAAATGAATTTTTCCTAATCATTTATGCAGCTATGAGATGCAAAAGACAGTCTACTCTTTGTACAGATTAGGGGAAACTGGACTACCAGGAAGTTAAATAACCTACCTATCCCCCCCACCCCCCCAAAGTTGGTGGTAGAGCAGGGCTGGAGGTTTTGAGTTCTGGGTTTAAATCTATGTGCTTCCTAATCCACAAGAAGGTCTTCCTTAGGAATAGAATTGAACAAAACCAGAAAATCTGTTCAGGTTTGGTTCCTGCGCTGATAGAAGGACATGATGAAGCCATCCCTGGATAACCACCTGACATCCAACTACCGCAGCAGAATTCATTTAAAGAATCGGTCATCCCCGTTTCCACTTAGCCCTGGTCTTCCTTGAACCCTCTGCATCCCACTGTGCCAGCAAAATTGTTCATGACAAGGTCACCAAATATTTCTGTTGCCAAGTGCAGTGAAATCCACAGCCTTGGAGGTGGGGGTGGCCAGCAGTTTCTTTTGAAGGCTGCTCTTCCCGCTGTAGTTGGATCCCAGCTCCCGTGACCCAGAGGGGAAAGGGAGCTGGAGCAAACCTTCTATTTTACTGAGGACTTTCAACGTGACCTAAGGAGGCAGTCCGTACCCATTCCCCAAATCTCATCCCTACCTCAAGGGAGACTGCCCCAGAGCCAGTCAGTTCCAGGTGTTACCCATGCTCCTTTGAGGTTTTCAGAGTGGCATCTCCCTTCCTTCCCCATGTGCAGTGGCCGTTCCTGCTCAGTAATGTCCTCCTGCCCGTCCCAGACCCACACCTGAAATGCCCAGTTCACCCTTCCTTCAGCACAGCTGATGTGCTGGCACCCACCTTCTCTTTACAAAATTAAAACCTACTCACTCATTTTTTTCTTTTTAATTTTTGTAATGTTAATTTATTTTTGAGAGAGAGAGACAGAGCATGAGTGGGGGAGGGGCAGAGAGAGAGAGGGAGACACAGATTCCAAAGCAGGTTCCACGTGCTGAGCTGTCAGCACAGAGCCCAACATGGGGCTTAAACTCCCAATCTGTGAGATCATGACCTGAGCTGAAGTCAGACACTTAACTGACTGAGTCCCCCAGGGGCCCCTCTACTCGTTTCTTCTTGTGCCTAATATTCTTCAAAAACCCCCCATTTCCTAAAAATTGAATTTCAAATTCCCCATTTGGGATTCTGGGCCTGCCCCTTTATTTTATTTTATTTTATTTTATTTTATTTTATTATTTTATTTGATTTGATTTGATTTTATATGAAGAAATTATCACTGACATAGGTTTATTTTTTTAATTTTTTAATTTCTGAGAGAGAGAGACAGCATGAGCAGGGGAGGGTCAGAGACAGAGGGAAGACACAGAATCTGAAGCAGGGCTTCAGGCTGTGAGCTAGCTGTCAGCACAGAGTCCAAAGTGGGGCTTGAACCCACGAACCGTGAGATCATGACCTGAGCCAAAGTCGGACACAACTGACTGAGCCACCCAGGTGCCCCTAGGCCTGCCTCTTTAACCCCCACAGCTCTCACCCTGCCCTGAGGGGCTCTTTCTGGGGCCACTGGGACCCAGCAGCTGGATGACTCTCCTCTGGCTTTGCCCATGCAGGCCCTGCCCCTGTACTGTCCCCCCTCCCCTCCTGCAGCCCCCTTGCCTCTAGGTCACCCCTTCATGGTCTACACAGCCCAGGGGTCTCCTGTGCACTGAGTGTGACACCTCCAAGGCCTTGAGGAGTTTCCTTTTTCATGTATTAAAAACAAAACCTAGCTGTTCACATGCTTATGATCTTCTCATGTCTTATTTCTTTTCGTCCCTGCTTCTTGGCCCCCAACACTCTGCCCTAGTTGTGTTGGATTTTCTGGTTAACCTTGAGTTGGTTAAATACCAGGCTTTGTGACACACAGGACTGCACTGCATAGTGGGCTCCACAGGGTCACCAGCTGCATCGTCACCTCCAGATCGCCGCTCGGGGCCCAGTGCCTGACCCTGCCCACCTTCCCCAGGCGGGGTGGCAAAGGGCTTCTGTCCATCCTGATGGATGGCAGCTGGGGGCAGCAGGGCCTCTAGGTGCTGTCCTGTAGACCTTTTGCTGTCATTGTGGAATTGCCCCAGACCTGTGCTGTCCATTTCTGTCGCCACCAAGCACGTGTAGCTCTGGGTGTCCGGATGGTTGCTGTTGAGAGGAACTGAGGAACTGAATTTTTAAATTTTAATTCATTATTTATGATGATTTATATTTATAATGTGATTTACACGTACGGCTTTGGTAATATATAAAATATATAATTCACTTTAATTCACATATAATTATATAAATGCGGTCATAGTTTTAGTCGCCACACGTGGCCGTGGCTGCCGCACTGGATAGCGTAGCTTGCAGTCTCCCGGAAATGGCGTGTTGTGATCGTCCTGACCCGGGCCGCTACTGGCATTGGTGGGCACTGGTGACGGGCAGTGTCTGGCCGCGACGGC